TATGACTCTTGTATGGATACAATAAACTGTATTTATACACGAGCTCTGAATTGTCAGGAATTTGTTGCATTGCTTAAAGAAATTGAAAGTGAAACGATTTATATAATGATGTGAAGTGATTAAGTGGAGACCTATACAATGACTATCGTATATAAATTAGTTTTTGATTAAATAAATGAAATCAAAATTCCCACCACCAACTCCCAATCCCCCCCAAAAAAATAAAACTGTCGAAGAGCTATAATGGATACAAATAGCTATAACGGATAATTAAACCCTTTCAAAATAAATGGCAAGCACAGGAAACACAACTAGAATAAAAATAATAATAAAAGAACTTTCGTACATTTCCTACATCTTTAATCCTGCCATCTTAAATCTTAAACCCACTTATCATTTCAAATTAAAAATAGCAAGAGTATACTAGAAAAATAGCATTATTGTGACAAAATTTGAAGAAAGATTTTAAAATTTTAATGATTTAGAGCCCGATTTTGCGTTAATTCCATTTCCATTAAAAAACGGCATGAATAATGCACCATCTAGAAAATCTTCTGACGAAACTAATTAATTTACAGTATGGTAAGTCTTATTCAGAGTTTTGAAGATACAAATTTAATTAACTTTTATTACTACTTGATAAAAATCATTTATATATGAATAGTTTTTTTTAGTTTAAAATTAATAAATCTAAGGAAAGAACTCGACTGAGCGACGAGCCTGTGATGAAGATCGTAGTTCCGTGTGATTTTTCTCCAAAGCTACTAACTTTATCATAATCGAAACATCATCAGGTGTCAAACTGTAGAAAGTAAAAAAATATAATTTTTACGTATAAATAGATGTGCTTTTATTGTATGAAAAAATTAATAAGTAAAATAAAGAGTCATTATTTATTATCTAGTTTTGTCCCATTTGAGAAGTTTCCTCTAAAAGCTTAAGAAGTTTTTACAATTTGTTTGTTTACACTTTAAGAGAAAAATAGAGAGTTATTTGAAATAAATGTCAACCTGGAGATTTGACGTACTGCAGCTAAAGAAACACTTCAGTTAGGAAGTATAAGCAGCAGAGATTTCTTACAGGTTAGCTTTGGATTTCAAAAAGAGAATAAATATAAATTTTAATTTTATCTTTTGCATTATTATTGTTATTGTTTACATGTATTTCGATAAATATAAATTTATAGTAATATTTTGTAAGTGAAATCTAAAATTTCACTTATAAGGTAGTTCTCCCGCTTTCTTGATATGCCTTCGTGGTATGGTGGTCTGCACGCTGGGCGCGTATTCCAGAGGTCTGCGGCTCGATTCCCAGCGAAAGAATCAAACCGCGGGAAAGATAAAAAATAAAGCAGGAAGGATACAAAATATATCTTTCCTGCTTCCAAAAAATGCCTAATATCTCTACAGTGGCGCCCAAACTATGGTGGATGATGATTCTCCCCACCCAGAATTCAGCGATTGGGTCCGCTAAAATCCCGAGTCGCCCTTTAAAAGGGGGGTGTATAAGGTATTTACCCCGCCTTCTTGGCATGCCTTCGTGGTGTGGTGATCTGCATGCTGGGCGCGTATTCCAGAGGTCCCCGGTTCGATTCCCGGCGAAGGCGTTGCTATTTTTCATCTTGGCTGCTTCCAAAAAAATACCTAATGCCTCAACAGTAGCGCCCGAACTAAAAGGTTGGTGGATAATGATTCTCCACACCCAGGATTTGGCGATTAGGTCCCCTAAAACCTGTTACATGCATTACTCTTAATCTAACTTAATTGCCATCGGATACTTCCGCTAGTTAAAAATAAAATAAACTGCATCAATAAAATAATATTTTTTAATCAAGAAAACAAACACAAAACTTATCGTGTTGTACTAAGTATTCAACGAGGCTTGCAGATGCAAGTAAATAATTTATAGCACAAGGAAATGCAATTCAACAATAAAGACATAATATTTAGGTCTGCAGAGAGCAAATAAAAAATATAAAATACAAATATTATTATAATAAAAATACTAAAATGTACCATAAATAACTAAACTAAATATTTCTATAAACCATTGTAATAATAATAAAAATGAAATAATACTTAAAAATAATATTTGAAAATAAAATAGCAGTTGTGAATAAGTACACACGTAGATTTTAAATCACTTAGTTTAATAATGCAGAGTTCAAATTTGAAAGATAAATTTAAGATCTTACGAACTTTGAATGGTAGTTTCTCTGAGAACTGATAATTAGCCAAACCTATAGTAGCACAACGTAACGCATTAATACGAGAGATGAAAATTTTCCAGATAGTAAGAATAATAGCAGTTTTAAGAATAATAGTCTGTATGGTTTAAATTAGCTATAAAATTTCACTGGGCGTAATTTTACTGACATTGAAATTAAAAGTAATAAAGAATAACAGGAACAAACCATTATGCACTGCACACATTTCCCCCTCGTTTAGAATTTAACTAAATTGTCCGTCAAAGTTTTGTTGCTTTACACCGCTTCCTCACTTTTTGCTTCAATGTTCCAGGATAGTTTTAATTCCAAAATATGCGGTAAATTTGATGTATTGTCAGGTTAATATCTTTCATTACTAGCAGTGCCCTTTCGATGACATTGGGAGAATATGCGCGAAGGATTTTGTGTACGATTTTGCGGCAAAGCTTCTTTGAATGGCAAAAAAAACAACTTATTACAGCGGAACAGTGTATCGGATAATACCGAACTTCCTCATACCGGATTTGTTTTTAATTTGGATTCTATTTTTTTGCCACAAGAGACTCTACGTCAATATTAAAAGAAATTTCTAAAATAATATTTATCCTTGATTTTCTTCCTCAAAATCCTCTCTTTCGAAGTTATAATAAACTTAAGACTAACTCAATTGTATCGAGAAATGGGAATCAAACTAAACCAAAGATAAGTAAACTTCCAAAGAACTGAAGATAAAATTGAAGTTTTGGGAAAGAACAACAAATTTTTGTAAGAGAAAGGCAGCGGTGCATTAAGGGATGATTGATTGTAAAGAAGAATGTTTTTCCCTTCCAGAACGAAAGCCTGTCATATTCATTTCAGCATCTTACTGAAGGATTATGTGATCAAATGGAATATGTCTGGGTTAATGAAAGAGTATTAAAAGGAAATATAAATAATATATTTCAGTTTACAGTATATATGTTGCTGAGGTTTTTTTTAGATTATGGAAAGCGATAGTAAAAGTTTATAATTACATTATTAATTTTACATTAATAAAGCGTATAAAAATCTTAACTTAAAATTTTTCTTTTAGTCTATCCTTTTAGTGAGTTATTAACATCACAGATATCCGTATGTTTCAAGAATACAATAAAAAAATGCTATTCCAATATCCGAAGTGTTTAAAGGAGCAATGATGATCAAAGGGTCGAATGCCGAATATGCACCGGCAATTGATGGCCATAATGAAGATACCAATGATCACAAAAAAGTTTGTTAATAAAATTAATAAGTAATTGCTTATTGATATAAAGCTATACTATATAGCAAGGAAGAAATCATGTTGAAAAAATCTGAAAGATTTCAGATTTTAACGATCGCCCAAAAGTGTTTGTTAAGGTTCTTTACGCTGTCGAATTAATTGTTTATTAATATAAAGCTATATTATATAGTAAGGAAGAAATCATATAAAAAATCTGAAATAATTCAGATTTTAACGGTCATCCAAAAGGGTGTGTTAAGATTTTCTATGCTCTCGCTGAAATCTCAATGTACCAGTTTGCTGTTACACTTACTCATACTGACCCATTTTTTTGTGTCTTTTTAGCTTTATTATTCAGCATCACTTTCTTCGCACTTGCGCAATATACCACAAAATTACAAAAATTGTAAGAGCAGCATAGAAGTATGCGTTTAGAATTCTCGATACAGCGTTAAGTGTTGGAATATAATTACCCCCCTGTCTTTTCTCAGTTCATCAAATAAATGTCCAGTTTTCTTAATAACATGGCTTTTACAAAACATTTCTTTTGTCTTTTTATTATTAACGTTTTGTGTGATTACTTTATTATTAAATATCCCATTCTTAGCGCTTACGCCGCAGAAAATTCGATTCAACAGCAAAATCCCAATATACTTATAAGGTATTTCTGCCACCTTCTTAGCGTGCCTTCCTAGTGTAGTGGTTCTGCACACTGGGCCGGTATTCCAGAGGTCCGTGGTTCGATTCCCGGCGAAGGCGTTTGCTCATTTTTCATCTTGCCTGCTTCCAAAAAATACCTAATGTCTCTACATACTTAAAACCAGTATATCCTTAGATTTTTCTGATAGGCAATCTCGTGCGCTAGAGATAAAAACACTTTATTCCGTCCAGTGTTGCCACTACTAGCTTCATTGATTTGTTAATCAAAAATTCTTTCAGAGTTTTACGTAATATGAAGTAGACAATAAAGCAAACTCGAAATTAAAAATTCGGGCTTACGGGTACCCATGTTCGGGTGGAGGATTACGTTATTCAAAATTTTATATCGTTGTTTGTTTACCTGTTTGTAGCTCTGTGCCATTGTTTTGAACCTGCATGAACGTATGTATGTTGTAGAACGAACATGCATACATTCATGCAGGTTCTTCATTATTTAATTTCTTTATGTATAATACAGGGAGATAACATTGGGTGTCAACAATTTGAAAAGTGATAAACGGAAGGTGGTTTTTATTGATTTAACACAATATGCCGTTTCGAGACTAATATCCCACTTGGGACTCACGTTGCTCTTGGGCTAAAGTATCTCAATAGCATATAATTTTTTTCTTTCCATAGTACATGAACTTTGGTAGGAATATTCGTGTAATAAAATTGCATTAAAAAACTGTCGCTTAATTTTTTTGGAATTAGTTCTTTATGTTTTTACATCTTGAATTTTAATTTGTTAACCGTACTAGATTTACCTGCTAATTTGTACGAGGGGGAGTCAAATGAAAACCATAATTATTTTTTTAAATATTATTTATTGGTCACACAGGGTACAGAAGTAAATCACTTTTCAACATAGGCATTACCGTTACGTTCAGCACGCCACAAAAGGTCTTCGCACGCATCAACACGTCGCTGTTTCAGTTCAGGCGTCAGTTGTCGGGGCACCCATCTTGCAGACACCTTATGAAACTGGAGAACATAATGCACAATATGATATGCCGATCCATGATTCATATGTACAGATGCTGAAATTTCGTCTATTGTCACACGGCGGTTTTCCAAAACGATGGCTTCAACGGCTGAAATGGTCTCTGAAGTCACTACGCGCCGAGCCTGGCCGAGGCGTGGAGCATCGGTCACGGACGTAACACCATTTGCAAATTTCCGGCACCATTCATAGATTTGTGGCTGTGACAAACACGCACCTCCATACTGAACCTTCATTCGCCTAAAAATGTCAATCGGTTTCACACCTTCACTTCGCAAAAACCGAATCACAGAACTCTGCTCCTCGCTGGTGCATGTGACTAGTGGGGCTGCCATTTTGGAACTGTTGTTGCGCCGGTGTTTGTGCATCTGCCGGCTGCTGCCACCTAGGAGACATCCGGCATACTATCGCAAACAGGCATGCCAACTTACAGCTCACTGGCGCCATATGCGGATTTTTATTTCTACTTTTATGGTTTTCAGTTGACTCCCCTACGTAAATGATCATAGATGTAACTTAACCTATGATTATGAATTTTACATCCAAATTTTTAAATAAATAAATAATGAATTGTGAGTACCAAAATGATTATTCACTACTTGCAGCATCACCTTTCCCTAACTCTTCATTACTTCTATCAGATTCCAACAGATTTTCATTGTAACATATTTAAGAAAAACGTTATCACTGTATACTTTTAGTTATTCAATAGTCCAAGAAACGAAGTGCATGCGTTTTCTAAAAGCATATAAATTATGTAAATTCTAAGAGTGTTTGAGATGATTTTTCATGAAGTTTGTATTGAAACTGTTCTGTCACTTCCTTGTGCTAAATTGAACGACAGAATTAAATTAGAATTGAAAAAGATTCATTCATAACGATTGTTAAATACTAAAATATTTCATCATCAGTTTTTTCGTGTTTCAAATACAAAACACGTATGAACTGTGTAATTTTGTTTGAATTTATTCTGCCTTCGAATAATGTGTTTTTAGCCTTCCAGTAGGCTTTTTAAACAAGTTTCTTATTTATTATTTTTGATTTAGGCGCTTGATGGACACATCTGTTCTGATAAGAACGTGGTGCCAAATTAAGAAAGAAGATAGAAATTTTTTTTAAAAAATTAATTTATATTAAAACTAGCTCGTCATGTTTAACTTTTTAGTTAAGATTATCATAATTCATAATTTTACGCAGTGTGCCTTAAATTAGCCCTTTTACCTTACTGTAAGTGTGAAAATGACAGTTAGTGAAAATGTTTCAGTTATACTTCTTTATGTAGTATCTAACTAATGGCTTTTATTATAATCTTCAAACGAATAACTCACGATTTCGGATCGGATGCAAAAGGTGACAGTGTTTCCTCTGTTTTCTTTCATCATTGATTACTAATTTTAGAGTAGGAACAACCCAACGAATGAAAATGCCCTTAGAATTTGTATTTCGGAGCAAAGTTTGAAGTCCATTTTGCTCCAATATCATATCCTTGATTCTCTGAAAAATAATATCACATTTTTGCACGAAACCGGAATAGTGGTTAGTTATTCTGACTGCCGTACCGAGGGGCCTTGTTTCGAATCCCGGAGGAGGCAAGGATGTTTGTAAATGTATAACGTCTGTGCGGCATGGGAGCATTCTAAATATGCGACGAGTGGAAAGCCATCTCAAGAGTTTGATGGCAGAGGAAGAGGGGTGGAAGACCCTCTAACCCGTCCCCCCGGGTTGCAGTCTCTCAAAATCGGGAGTGGAACTGAGATAAAGTCGAGTAGTAACATGGTGCACCAGGCTCTTGCCAATGACAAGCGCATATGACTTCTTTCCACGATGAATGTCATGGGCTTGTGGTGTCCTTTGTGATATTGGTAACAACATTATTATTTTTCCAGAAACATTTTTGCTTCATGTAAATAATAACTTGTGGAGCAGGACGTGATTAAGATAATTTGATGCCTTAAGCAGAGCATTTTTCTAGCGCCCTCTATGCGCGCTTTCCTTGTCTTGACCTTTTAAATACAAACGGGGCAAAATGTTGTGTCAAAATACATTTAATTGATCAAAGCTATATCTAAATCTAGTGTGTATCTAGGTAGTGCTTTCGAAATATGGAGAATGCATGTGGAATTTCATCAATCGGCGAAATAAAATAGAAGCTGTAAAAGTACACACACATACACAGAAACACAAACAGGCCCACCAGCGGCCGAGCAGTAAAGTCGCTGAACACTGATAGTTAGGTCCAAGGCTCGAATCCTGCGAACGAGCTAGCGGTATGGTTGTTTTCGTGGTTTTTTCCATGTGTAACGTGCATACGAGCCAGTTTCCCTAGAAAGTCCTCCATAAAGGCATCTCTCTCCTTTGGCACATAAGCCAAACCCCCTTCTCACAGCGTAATGGCAAACTGCACATTCAGTTGATCAATGTTAAATAAATTTCGCGTACTGCGCATGCCCAGAAGAGAAATTGGCGCAATTACGACTTTGATACAATTTTAAAAGAAGATAAATACGGTGTGTGGTTGATATTCTGTTATCTGGACATAAACAGGTCGAGATTTTGAAACTTATTATGTTGTAAGTTGCTTAGAGTGTAAATATCGATTGTAAATTACGCAAATTTTCGTTTAAGAATGTTTACAAAACAGGGAACATTACAAGATATATTAGATGAATCTTTATTGATTATACTTCTGAGGAATAAAAGCAATTGCGTATTTACCATACGTTCCATGCGTATATACTTTAACAAATTAAAGACTAAATCCAGTTGAAATAACTAAATTAATGTCAAGGAAATTATTATAAATAACCGATATTAAACATAACGTTTATGAACAAAATAAACCAAAATGAAACAGAAGCAAATGCATTAAGCACAAGCAATTTTCGGTAGTATTGCAATTGTAAACAGTTGATAAGACCTACAAGACGCGCAGGCTTTGCAGGGTTGCTATGCCCCCCTTAGTTGCCAGTATTTTCTCCCACGCCAACAGTAAGCCACTGAGCATGCGCATGATGCGAAATTCGTTAACATTGATCAACTCAATGTGCGGTTTGCCAATACGCCTCCCCACACACAAACAAAGAAAAAAAACTTGGCTTGGCTTTAATTTAAAACTCCGTAGATTGTTTACACATTAAATATAAAATCTACGCCGATCTAAGTTCGCGGTTTTTTTTTACTAGTTCTAAACCGGAAGTCAATAACTATCAGAGGTTTGTATTTTTCCTGTAATAGGCAGCCGTAGTTCCCGTCAGTTGAATGAAAAGTGGTTAAAATTACAATGAATAATGAATTGCATCTCCATGCAAACTATAGTACAGTACCCAATCATTAGGCCATTACTAACCAAGCCTTCCTCCTGATTAGTACATAGCCGTATTTACGATCTTGAAACCTTTTTGAGTTTTGCAAAAAAATCTTCCATAATTTAAGTTTGCTTTTCCGCCTAATTTTATATATTAGCATACAAGACTTTCATACGGATGGCATATCGTTATACTTTGGCTCAAACGACGTAAGATCACCGATTTCACTTTCTGACATCTCAGACAGTATTCAGATAGTGAAGACTGATCACTGCAATGAAATCATTTATTTTATTTTATTTTACGTTCATTTAACGTCGTATTGCAATTATGCACCAAATTATTTGGTACAATGGCTAAGTTAAAGAAACATCATAATTCAATAATGCTGCGAATGGGGTTAAATATGGTGCAGCAATAAGTTTGTCGTGCTTCAAATTATGCAACTGGCATTCTTTCTATTAAGTTGAAAGGCCGCCTTTATTGTGTGTAAAGTGATGAAATTTTGCTAAAATGTCTCTTCTTCTAAGATACGAAACTGTAGGTGTAAAAGTTGTGGTAGAGCAACCGAGATTAAAGATGTAACGATGTACTTTTTGATTCTATAATATCAGCATTAAATTTATAGAGCGAACATTTATCAATATAGAATTTTTAGAAACTATCGCGATGGTCTTAAAAGTTTTTCTTTTAAATGACATCGAGTTTATCAATTTTCAGTGCTACAAAATATTTTTAACATTATTAAATCCATATTAAAATAGAGAGACTACTGTGTTGTAAATGATAATTTTCCATTGCAATTTTAAGTACACAGTAAAAGTTTACTCTGTCTCATAACGGAATATAAAAAACCTATAAATAATCTTTTTATAAATTGACACAATTTTATAAATAAATATAAAACTGTAAGGTATATTGACTACGCTATGAAAACGAAATAATGAACTATAAGAAACGTTAATGTGTTTATTAGCCCAAAGGAGCGTTAGCACAGAAGGGCTATTAGTCTCAAAACGGGATTTTGGGTTGAAATCATTATAAAAGTCTGAATTACTTTTCGAATTGTTGCCACCAAATATTATCACCCTGCATTATAAAGAAATTACATAATGAAGAATTTACATGAATATATGCATGTTTTTCATTCACATTGTGAAAAAACAGAGGTACCTAGAGCCATCGACGTAGTCCTTCACCCGATTATGGACCCATGGAAGCCAGAATTTTGAATTTCGATTTTGTTTTATTGTGTATTTCAAATTTTGTGAAACTTTAACGAATTTTTGATTAACAAACTCAATGATTTCAAAGCGAGCTATGGCAACAGAAAAAAAAATTATCTCCAGCACCCGAGGCTGTCTATCAAAATTTCTAATAATATGCTGTTTTTAAATATTTTATTGTGTATTTGAAATTTTTTAAAGCTTTAACGAACTTTTGATTAACAAACTAAACGATTTCAAAGCGAGCAATGGTAACACTGTGCAGGAAGGGGAGAAAAATTATCTCAAGCGCGCGAGCCTGTTTATCGGAAATTCTAAAGATAGTAAAACATTTTTAACCCAAAGGAACATTAGCCCAAATGCTCTCGAAATGCGTATATGTATGTAAATGAAAAAACTTAATGTGTACACCACATGACTTCCTTGTACGGAATATTAAATTATACGCAGTTTTCCTGCATTTCATTTAAACATACTGAATTAACAGTTAACGAATTTTGAATTAAATCTACTTCGTGGGTAGCCCATAAACCACAATAGAATAAATGCACGTTTTAAAGTTCACTATATTTATTTACCATAGCGACACTTCGGGGCTAGTTTCACTTAAACAGCATTACATCTCATTCATTTCATAACTCAGAGTGCACAAAATTATGTCAGCTGAAGAATTACCACAAATTCTACTCAAATACTAAATAAATCTAAAACTATGTATAAAAGAAGCAAGTATAATAAAGCAAATAATAAACAAGTACTATAATAATAAATCTATAGCGATGTATAAAAGAATTTAAACAAACA